TGCATGAGTAACATGAAGAACTTTGCCTACTTTGAGTCTTGCTTTGCTGTGTAATTATATTGTCTTCAACGTTCCAGCCAATAGGTTTAAGCTACAAACCTATCAGTTCTCTTTTCCCCGGACATGTCCACTTTTCACGTTTTGTCCGGGTGGATTTTCGAGATTGATAAAAATGTCCGGGTTTTCCTATATTCCAACAGAGGACTCATGTATTTGAAGTCATCCCTGAACCGCTGCTTGTAAGTTGTTCTGCGCTCACAGACGGGACAGACAGCGCGCAGCAACGCACCTAATGATGTTTAACCACCTAAGACTAAGCTCTTCCATGGCATGCATTTTTCATTTCTCTTTGATATTTGAGCTGGTTGGGACCCGATGAATGTAAAAACAAAGAATTACCAGATTTTTTTTTTACCTAATTTATGTTTCTAAGAAAAATGAGAGCCACATATGAGGGTATTCGTTTAAAATTTCGATAGAACAGTAGCAGTATAATGTCCTCGTAAGTGGATATCAGGCACTTGTAGAGCAAAATTGAGTATTTTGGTCTAAATAACCCAAAATGTGATGTCCACATATGTGGATGCCAGGTCCTAGGAGGTTAAAGATCCCAAAACGCAAGTGTATCTTTTCAGGCGAACTGCAAAAGAAATTTCCCTCGTACCGACGCAGTACTGGTAATTTTTCTTATGCATATGAGGAATTATTTCTGTACCATTATTTAATTCCAGAGTCTTTTAAGTTTTTTTTTTTATTTGCACTTGTTGACTTGCAAAATCCTATTTGACATATTTTATTTCACAATTCATTAACCGCACAAAGAAGGCATCATTTAAATATGTTAAATATGTTTCTTTAAGCAAATTCTACATGACTGAGCCAAGTGTCCTCTTTTTTGGAAATCAAAATATGGTCACCCTAAGTAATTAAACATGCATCTACCCATTTTCTTCTGATTATCCTTCTCGGGTTTGTGGGGTTCTTTCCTAATATATTGGACAAACGTTAGCATTTTTGGCATTTATCATTTCTAGTAGATGTCGGTAAAATCTGTGAATTTGTGAATGTTAAAGGGAGAATGTTAAAGGGACAGAGCTGCAGAAATTGCATTTCTAAATTAGCTACATTTTACTTACATGTCACATTAATAGTGTTGTATCCAGACTTGTTCATCCCAAGTGTGTTTAAAGCTTTACAGTAATACTCTCCAGAGTCAAAGGGTTGAATGGAATTGAAGACGAAATGTGAGTCTTCACTGAGAGGATTAGAATGATTCACCTTGTACCAGGTGTAGTTAGCTGCTGGGTTAGCATCACTGCTACAGGTCAGAGTCACTGAACTTCCCTCCACTATCTCAGCAGAGGGACTCACTGACACAGAGGGAAGCTTTGGAGCATCTGGAGGAGAAAATATGAACAACTTAATGTTTAGTTACACATGTTTTATGGTGAAACTGTTTCCATAAACCTGTTGACTGCTCTTACACACAGCAATGGATGATTTAATGTACTGAAATTAATTTGCTGACATGAGCAGACAAATACGGTGTAAACTGATAAAAATGGCCTTCAATGATCACATTTTCCATATTTGTTTTCTCTTTTTTTAAAACATATCCTAGCAGAAATAGGGTGAAAGGCAGGGTGCAACCTAATTAGATTGCCAGGCCATCACAGAAAACTAAGGATATCCTACAACTTTGACTGAATAAATCACTTGAATGCGTAGATGGAACGTTTCTCCCACTGAAAAATGCCATGTACAGATAAACAGAATCAACTTTTTGATATTTCCTTATGTGCATGATTGAGCATGCATCAAAACAAAGCTAATAATCAACAGTTACCGTATTTTCTGCACCATAAGGCGCACTTAAAATCCTTTAATTTTTTTTTAAATTGGCAGGGCGCCTTGCAATTCGGTGTGCCTTATGTATGAGTTGTGGTTGTGCTTACTGACCTCAAACCAATTTTTATGTGGTATAGGTGCTCAAAAATCTGTCATAAAATGCTTTAGTACGACTTTGGTAAGCTACAAAGTCGCACCGCTTGATGGATTGTCAGAGCATTACAACTACCGAAGTTAGGAGCCTCGCGGAGTAATCTGGGTCCAAAACTCCGTCTGCTTCAGGTCCAAAACACTGCGGCATCACTGAGAGTTAAAAACTGTCCAAATTCCTTCATCTTTAATAAAATGATCAGCGTTGCTGCTTTACCAGATGTAACAATTAAGTTTAACATCCAGGCATCCATGAAAACAGAATTTCTTAAAGTTAATGGAGTTAGCAGGAAGTTAGCTTGCTAGTTTTCACCTAAACATGATATGTCATGTTCTGACTGAGAGATTGCTGAAAAAATTAAAACGTACAGCTCTGCTATCACTTCCAACATAAATGAAGACAGAAAACTAAACAGCAGTGACGTTTGTAGGGTTACTGAAGTTGGGCTCAGTGTTGCCAACTCCTCTGTAAGGAAAATCGCTATTGGTTGTCCTAAAAGTCGCTAGAAGTCGCTAAATGACGTCATCACCTAATTTGCATAATTTGTCATGCTAATGTAATTGTAATCTATGTTGTTGGAGAGAGAAATAACATTGTGGACGAGACATAAAGTGAGTAAAAAACGTCCTAAATGCATTTAGAATTTATTTAGAACTACAAATTAAATTTCTTTTAGCAATTATTGTTTTTTGTAATGTCTTTCACGTCTTTTTTAGCGACTTTTTTTAGAAAAAAAGTTGCTAGGGGGTCTGAAAACTCGCTAAATATAGCGACAAAGTCGCTAAGTTGGCAACACTGGTTGGGCTAGGTGATATATATTGATGTCCTACGTGATTGCTAGCAAAACAGCTACGTTAGCATAACATTAGCACAGTGAAGCTGAAGGACGAACGCCAACACTTTTACACTCAATAAAAGTTAACGGGAGGGTTTCTGATGGTTAGAGACAAATGCAATCACATGGCAGGATGCTGTAAACGGACCAAACTTCAGTCAGGAGAACAACTGAGATTATTCATCCACAATATGAGGTTAGTCATTAATATACTGCAACAACATGGGATAGAGCAGCTGTGGGAGAATTGAGCATTAATGAATTGGTGGAGGAAGCAAGAAAAATTAGTTGAGTAAAGTTTGACTTATCTCACTGTTTTGTTTTGCTTAGTGCGTCTTATAATCCGGTGCACCTTATGTATGAAAAATACGGTAACTTAACATGGATGTCTTAGTTTAACATAGATGTCTTTCAACTGTGGGGCAACATGCAAACTGCACAAAAAGACTACAACTTATAAGGACGTTTGAATGCAGTACCTTGCACTAACACCAACCAACAAAGTATTCTAACCACTGCACCATGTGATCTCAGGACAAATCATGCACTTTGTTGTTACCACAGGAAGGGGGAAGGTGACAGTGTTTTACAGAATAGAACAGATGAGCAGGTTTAAATAGCTGCTCTCCACATCTGTGCAGACACAGTGGTTGAATCATATCTTACAGTTTGTGGAAGATATGGGAAAGATTAACGCTCCAAAGTTACAGAGTTCCACAAGCTTCTCTGTTGGGACCAACACCTTTTCTGTTATGCATGCTTCCCTCAGGTAATGTTATTTAAAGACTTGGCTAAAATATTAGTCTTTTGCATCAGTACATCAGTATATATCAGTATACCAGTCTTTTCTAAAAGTTCCCTGAAAAGCCTCCAGTTCTGGATCCAGTTCATGTCCTGAATGTTGCCTACATGTGGAAGTAAACTATCAATAAAATCTCTTTATCATACACTGATCAGTGAATTACATATGAAGAATGTGAATCTTAAGCAGGTGTTTTACTCACATTTCACATCAATAAAGTTGTATGCTGACTTCACCCCAAGTTTATTTTTAGCTGTGCAGAAATATTTTCCAGAGTCAGAAGACTGAACGGCACTGAAAGCAAGCTCTGCGTCTTCACTGACAGCTTTCAAAGATCGTTGCACATTCTTGTACCAAACATAATTAGCTGCTGGGTTAGCATCACTGCTACAGGTCAGAGTGACTGAACTGCCCTCCACTATCTCAGCAGAGGGACTCGCTGACACAGAGGGAAGCTTTGGAGCATCTGGAGGAGAAAGAAATATAAGAGAGAAATATAAATTTAGATCATAAACTCAGTGGCCATTTTTAGGTACATCAGCTGCTTGCTAATCGTAAACTGCTGATCTCCTGGGATTTTCAAGACCTCGCAGATGGTCGTGTGAAGAATGGAACAAAAAAGGAAAATATTGATGTGCAAAGATGTGTTGTTGATGACAGATGAGAATAGCCAGACATATTATGTATGACTGAGTGTATCTTGTTTAATTACAGGCTTAATAAAGAACTATATTTCAATTTGTGTTTCAGTATGAAATTGATGGTGAAGTTTGGTTTAATGATGAGTAAACTCACACACTGACGGAGAGGGGAACTTCTCGTGTCCTTTTACAGCACATGAAATTCTGTCTTCAGGAAAAAATGAGAATGAAAGAGAAGAAGATGTTGTTTCACTGAAAATGTCCCGCCCATTTTTTATCCAGACATAGACGTCAGGCCGACAACTGCTTTGACATGTCAGCTGTACCCAAGTATAATCTGAGTAGAACTCTACTTTGTTCACCTGCACCTGGAGATCTGAATACATGAAGAAGGACCGATATTCCAATTAACACTCTTAAATGCATGCAAGTGAACCACATTATCAATTAAATTAAAAATGTTACCTGTGACAGACAAGTTGACTCCAGGTAAACCAGTAAATTTCACATTAGGTTGGTTTGTTCTGAATCTGAACTTGTACTCAGCTGAGTCGCTTTCTCTCAAGTCTGTGATCATCAAAGAGCAGCTGTTCTCAGAACAAGTACACTGCAGTCTGCCTGCGTAGTGTGAGTCTGATTTCAGATCCACAGGAGTGTTGTTACTAAATGCAGTAAACCAGAGTCTTTTTTGAACTTCAGTGCTTTGATTATTTATTCTGGGTGGGTATGTGTAGGTGCAGCTCATTTCCCCTGTTGATCCTTTTACAGCACAGATCTGAGCAGAAGTGTAAGTCACTCCCACGTTACTCTGAGTCTGTATGACTGTAACACAGAGCACATCAGAAACTATTATTACCATCTTCAGTTAACAGAGTTGAACATTTTGGTTAATGACTGGTAAATGCTTCTGTTTGCTTCTAACCTAAACTGATATATAAAACTGTAACACATATTACATATTTTTGTTTTTCTGCTCCCAAAAAGTTGATTGTGTTCATCTGGACGAAGCGTTTTCACTGGGAGAAACGTTTTGTCGCTCATCCAGGTGACTTCTTCAGTCTCAGCTGACTGCAGGTGTCCCCAACCTTATAAGCAGCACATCTACATCATGACTAAAACTGCTCTCCTGCTAAACAAAGTCACTGGGATGAGTGATCGAACGTTTGTCCCACTGAAAGCATTACGTCCAATCAACTTTTCAGGATTTCTTGAACATGGATCGAGACATTTATCTTTTCTGTTTTCTGTTTTTTGTTTATTTATTATTTATAGTGGTCTGTTTTTGGTTTTACTCCACACTTTATACTGTATTTTGAGAACATTTAGTTAAACTGCTGGTTTCATTTCTATTTCCTAAACTTCAGCTTTCATTTCTTTCTTCTGTTTTTTCTAAAATAAATGCAAATAAAATACTTTCACCTATACTTTTTTTTTCCATTGTAGGAAAGTGGCTTCAAGACAGGCTTTAGAGGGAAGTCCATTTTAAATGAAAACATTTGTCTTTTAAAAAAGTGAATGTAAACGTAGACACACAGTACCTGACACAGAGAGAAGGATGCCAGCAAATCCTCTCACTGCTGCAGTTAAACCCATGGTTGCTCCTCTCATCTGGTGAATTATTCAGGTGAATAATTTATCCAGGAATCAGACAAACGATCAACAGTTCTACTTACAAAGATGAAGGACAACTTCCCAGAAAGGTTGCCTTTCTGCAGTGGCCTGCAAGCAGAAGACAAACTGTCAAACACACAATACCAACTTCCTTCCTGTTCACAGCAACTGCTGAACTATAACTGTATGATAATAATAATAACTGGACTTTTCTTCACATCATTAAAATGAACAGTGAGCAAAATAAAAAAATGAACACTGAAGTTAAAATAAAGCTCTTCATACTTTGAACTTTTTAAAATAATCTATGTGAGAGCACAATGAAAGATGAGTTGGGTGGTCTCTTAGTGGTAACCCTCTGCTGAGGTGACCTATTTTTCAGTTTTTTTTAACACTGCTCTTTGACACACACATGAAAACCACAACACAGTCTGTGTCATCACACCCACCCTAGCTGGTTAGTTTTGTTGTTATCAGCCATAAAACATGAACGTGAGGCAGGACACTGAACACATGTCCTTTCTGCTGGAATCATCATAACATAAGAAGTAAAATATAATAAGTAATTTTACTATTAGCTGTGCTTGCATGCACTGAAAATAATGACAGTGTTATTCTCAACATATGTTTGTATCCTTCAGTTTATGTAAACTGGTTCTTTAGAGCTCCTGAGCAGCAGTTCAGAATATGAAGAAGTAGATGAACGGAGAAAAGCTTCAACACGTAATTTTAAACACGTAATGCTCCTTTAATAAATCAGCAGCTTTTTAATATTAAAAGAACGATTCGCGCTGCAGCAGGCTGTTAGTAAATCTGGAAATTTTTGTTCTTTCTTCTTTAAAATGCCAGCCTTTGTAATAATGTGGTGTGTTTCACAGGTTGTTTCATTTATGTGGCCTCCATAGATCAATGGTGTAAGAGGGCGCTGAGGGTAGAATAAGATGCACGTTTTGTAGTCCATCTTCTGCACGTTGTAGTTTCAACATGGCAGACATCACACTGGATATATACAGTGAGTATTACGTAAAGGTCTTTCTGATTCCCATTGCACTGTTCTTCTCTTTTACTAAGTCTGTATGAATTTTTCTACCTTTTCCTGACCTCAATAAAATTTTCATGATGGTCAAAGAAAAGAGGTTAGGGAAAGGAGACTGGAGGTATTTTTGGAATTCACCCACTGAAGAAATCTCATTTCTCATATCTTATTGTTGGAGTTGTTTGTTTAGCCGGTTTACTTCATTAAGCACAGATGTAAAGAAAGAAGTACAGGAAGTATAGGCTCCTATTTTTTCCTGTTTTTGTTCTTCATATTGTTCTTCTTTTGAACTTTTTGATTTATATTTTGCTTATAAGGAGCCAGACCACTTCGGGGGTGTTCCTGTAGCTGATGTCCAGTTATGAAGGCTAGCTCAGTATGTAGAGTGGTCGCCCCATGATCGAAAGGTCAAGGGTTCAAATCCCCCGAATGCCTACCCTGAGGTACCCGTTAGCGAGATACTGTCCCTACGCACTGCTCCCCGGTGTGGCTACCCTGCTTCGCTGAGTGAATGGGGCAAATGCAGAGACAGTAATTTCCCCACGGGGGTCAATAAAGTATACATTATTGTTATGAGGTCTTGATCTCTAAACTAGCAGGGACAAAGTTTGATAAGAAAGTCACATTTTATATAATGTTATACAAAGTGATGTCCAAGCCCTTTTTGAAAAGATAATAGCATGTTAATGGACAGGGTTGCCTTTGGTTGAGATATTGCCTGGAGGCTTGTAAGAGTTTCTTTGTGGAAAGAATCAGACAAACTGCAGACTTTCTGACTTTGTGATGAGTCTGATGTTCCAGTTTATCAGTCTTTTAATTTTGATGAGCACCTTACAGTATGCTCACAGTGCCCATTGGCTCATACAGGAGCCTGATGATGTATTAAATAAATCAGATCCTCAAGAGTTGACAGATGGTGAAGGAAACAAGCTTCTTGACATCTGTGTGAAGGAAGAATGTCATCGTCAGCACCAGTCTGACTCACCACTTTCTCTGTGTTTCTATCCTGAGTGCTCTGCCTCTCCTCTGTTTTTCGTTTTGCATGTGTGTGTGTTTATGTACAGGTGTATAATTTGATTTTAGCACAGAAACAAGATTCTGCCGGAGTTCCCACTGTCTGCCTTCACACACCTGACGTAATCATACACCTCATCCTGATGTCTTCTTTGTGGCTCTGTCTTAAGGCAGTGGCAGATGATCAGTCTTCGCTGAATTGTTGTATCACTACAGTTAGTGCAGCTGAGCTCCTACGATCTGTACATGATGTCACTTACCGGTCTTCCTGAGATCAGAGAAACTTGTGTTGGTGAGCAAAGAACTTTGTGTGTCTTGCAGTGTGAATGTGTGCAAACTGTGGATCTGTGGAAACGTTACCCAAGGAGAATGGAACTTTTGATCTTCTGTGCTGAACATTCTTTTACTGGAAATAAATGCACTGAACTGAGAGTCCTGCACTTGAGTTGGTTTAGACCCGAGATCTTTGACAGAACTCCAAAGTTGTTACATGTGAGTTCCTGAACGGATCAGTCCACTCCTTTGTAGCCAGGCAGAACACAAGGTGTCACTGCAAGACTCAAACAGTTGTTAAAAGGGTATAGGTGAATAGAAGAAGAAAATAGAGTAATCCTTTAATTGTCCCACAAGGGGAAATTTGGTTGTAACAGCAGCCAGAAAGACACATATACAAACAAACAGTACACAAGACACAGAACAGAAACACACACAATTTTTTTTACATATTTACATCAAGGGCAATGGTTACCAAAAACAGAGTACTGTACTGTTATTAAATTAAATAAAATTAAATACAGCTAAGAGGGAAACCCAGGTTGTAGTGTGAACTGGTTGATAAAATAGTGCAAGTTACAGCGATGATGTAAACCTCTATGTTTGTTGGGAGCACCTTTGATTGTACAGTCTGACAGCTGCAGGGAGGAAGGACCTGCAGCTGTCTGTCACTGAAGGAGCTCTGCAGTTCAGCAACATTTACATGCATGGGGTGGGAGACTCTGTCCATCAGAGATGTTATTTTGGCCAGAGTCCTTCTGTCTCCCACCACCTGCACTGGGTCCAAGGTGCATCCCAGAACAGAGCTGGCCTTCCTGATGAGTTCATCCAACCTCTTCCTCTCAGCTGCAGATAAACTGCTGCTCCAACATGGTGGAATATAACAAATGCAGATTGTTGACTGATTATACAGCTTATTGAAATTGGATCATGGCTTTGATGGCAGAACACAGCATCTATTAGTATCATCATTAGTGGACAATGTAATTACAAACAGTTTTCTGTTTGTTTGTTTTTGTCAAGAGTGTTATTTTGACACATACCACAAACTCTCTGTGGTGACACCATATAGATAAAAACATTTGTTTGTTTTATATATAATTAAACTAATGATGTTAGTTGTTACGAAATCAGTTTCACCCCGGTTCTTTTATTCGTCGAAACTTCCAGAGACGGCACCAGAACTCAGTAGTTATTTCACAAAACCTTTATTTATCTTTATTCATCTTCATTTAAGCATGCACTTCTAGAAGGGAAGACGAGGCCGGTGTGTCCCTCTGCAAAATCTTCACCCCTTTGTTAGTTACAGCCAGCTTTATAGAGGTGTCCCCATCATAAAACCCCCCTACGGTGTGCTGCAAACTCTGTGTCTGTGTCTATGTGAGTGCTCGTGTGTGACTGTGTATGCATACCTGTACCAGTTAAAACACTGTGGGTGTAGGTGACTCCCTAGAGGTCATAAAACCCATCTCCCTTCCAGACCAAGTTATCCAGTTACAAATGTTGAGACCTTTCACAGTTCAACGGGGGAGGGGTCTCCTACAATCTACTCCTAAGTTCATGACACAGTCAGGCCTTTATTACATTGAGGGCAGTGTCAGTGTCTCTACAATAATTCTACATTCTATGTTAACACATTTCTAAACTCTAAAATAAGCTAAACATTTCTACATAGTATGGAAACATAAAATATATTTACCAAATATGTTCATCACTGGAATTTAAGTTGTGTTACATTATTGTGAGAAAGTCTTGAGTCGCCCCTCATTTAATTATGTTTTGCTTTATTAGGGACTTTTTAACAAGAGCAAAAATCCATGGAAATACTGTATATGAGGCAAAAAACAGAGTTTGAACATTTCTAACAAGCTTGAAAGTTCATATTTTGTATGACCACCTTTATTCATCAACACAGCCTGAAGTCTTAGACAAGCTTTCTCCTAAGTAGTCTTCAGGAATAGTTCTCCAGTCTTCTTGAAGGTCAAACAGTTGTTTTTTAACCAAAGCTTTCTTTTACATCACTGTTGTGTCATCTGCAAACTAAATCACGACATTTTTTAGAAGATGGTACGCAGTGTACAGAGACATGGAATGCAGTCATATGTACAGAGAGATGGTGTGGAGTCATATAAGTACTGAAAGTCTGACTGGTTTCTTAAGACACACACACAACAGTACACAGGGAAACAAGGGACAGCAGCACCAAACACACACCATCAAACATTAAAGAGTCCATAGACTGCTCATGAACCCTGGGTCTCTCACACCCAGGACCCTGACATGGAATTGTTGCACAGGTGGAATTATATCGCGGCACAACACTGGAACTCGATGCTGAAGTTCTTGAAAGCGACTCATTCTTTCACAGACACATGCTTTCAAATCCTGCAGCTGGAAACACATTCATAAACACATGAAGACACTAAATGGATATAAAACATATCAAAGCTGAACTCATTTCCTGTCCATCTGCATATTGCAAGAAACTGCTCTGGTTCTCACACCAAGAAATACAAAATTAGTGACACTTTTCACTTGGCTTACAATAATAATAATAATAATAATAATAATAATAATAATAATAATACATTTTATCTGGAAGCACCTTTCAGAACACTCAAGGACACTGTACACAGCAGAATAATAAAAGCAATATAAA